TGAATAAACAAAGTTTAAGATTGAAGAACTGAGAGCAGCAAGGAGGGGTTAGATGAGGATTTTTACAGAAATGTTGACGGGTAACCAACGACGGCCATTTAAGCTAGGCATCTCGGTATGCACCGAGAAAAACGTGAGATGAAACAAGCTGAAAATCCACAAAGCCTGCTCATAATGGAGACGTTGTTATAACCCAAGGCCGGTGGTTAGGTTCTCCCTTGACAGAGATATGAGGTAAGCAATCTCGTTTCTTCAGACCCGGAATGTAATAATTGAGCCCTTAGTAAGCATACCTGAGTGACAGTTTTAGCACAGATATGAGAAATGCTAGGAGGAAACTGCAACATAAAAGCTCTGCAACCAATATATCAATGCCATTTCTAACTGAATCTATCATGATCCAGGGTCACAGTGAGATGAATACTGTGTAAACTAAAAGAGTGAGTTGTTTTTCATTCAATACAATGCAACACTGTGACAAGGGTGTATTACGCTTAGATAGGTAAAAGAAAGAGGGACGCAGAAAGGAAGGAAGGAAGGAAGGAAGGAAGGAAGGAAGGAAGGAAGGAGGAAACAGGAGTGGGGGAGGGAGTGGGGAAGGGAAGAATGAAGGAAGGAAAGGAAGGAAGGAGGGAGGAAGGAAGGAAGGAGGAGTGGGGGAGTGAAAGAGGGAGAGGGAGGGAGGTGAAGTGTTAATAGCACTCTCAGGTGAAGTGTTAATAGCACTTTACAAGGCCTTGGTAAGGCCACACTTAGAATGCTGCATCCAGTTTTGGTCACCACGATGTAAAAAAGATGCTGAGACTCTAGAAAGAGTGCAGAGAAGAGTAACAAAGATGATCAGGGGACTGGAGGCTAAAACATATAAGGAACGGTTGCTGGAATTGGGGATGTCTGGTTTAATGAAGAGAAGGACGAGGGGGGACAGGATAGCAGTATTCCAATATTTGAGGGGCTGCCCCAAAGAAGAGGGAGTCAAGCTATTCTCCAAGGCGGCTGAAGGCAGGACAAGAAGCAACGGATGGAAACTGATCAAGGAGAGAAGCAACCTGGAACTAAGGAAGAATTTCCTGACAGTTAGAACAATTAACCAGTGGAACAACCTGCCTCCAGAAGCTGTGAATGCTCCAACACTGGAAGTTTTTAAGAAGAGACTGGACAGCCATTGGTCTGACATGGTATATATAGTTTCCTGCCTGAGCAGAGGGTTGGACTAGAAGACCTTCAAGGTCCCTTCCAACTCTATTATTGTTGTTATTGTTGTTATTATTATTTATCTAACAACATTAAACAACATCTACCTATCCAAGGTCCTTGACAAGGACTCAATAGTTCTGACAAAACGTGCCAAATCCAGTCTAAATATTTGGCTGGCTGTGCAACAAATCATCATAATAAGAATAAACAGAAGGTGACTGTGACCCTTAGAAAGAAAATTTTGTCTGAAGATCTCTTTTGTCTTTGTGGAATTGATCCTGACTTCACGAAAAAAAAGTGTGAAATTGTGTTCACCCTGCTGAAACATGCAATGTTCATCTCTTTTCAGGGAGGTGATTGCTACGAGGAAGACAACCTGGCACCGAGCAGCCGAAGATCTATTGAAGCCAAGAGGTTCAAAGAATTTTAATAAAAATATCAGAGCAATGAGAAAAACCTCATTGGCACAGGAGGCATAACAGATGGGTGCACATTTTGCAATTCCTTGAGGAAATGCATAGCCAAAATGGTTATCAGCCCGGGCGTGGAATGCTGAAACTGCTGCCAAAAAGACA